ATCATCAAATTATTACGTCTAATTTACACTCTCTTCTTTTTTCTTTTTTCAAAATCCAACGATAACTATATGTATAATATAGGCACAACGAAATGAAAGATTCATGAGTTAGAAAACTCCATAGATGATGAATAAAAGAAAAAACAAAATCGTATGTATGCGAAAAAGAGAAAATGAAAGGTCTAATGAAGAGAATGAAAGAAATAATCCATGAGTGAGAATAAGATATATGTCTAGGGAAGAAAGAGAAAAACAAAGGTAGTGAAGTGAAGAATATATGTACCACTAGCTGAGACCAGTAATATGAGAAAAATAATATGCGCAATTAAGGACAAATCAATCTATACTCGTGGTTATCTTTTTTTTTTCATTAACGCTTGACTGAATCGGATATATTATTATGACTCTCGTCTGCACTTTAATTAATATTACGAGTGATTGACATACTTGCAATACAAATACAGATATCAACAAGTATCGTGAAAGTTATATTCAATTGAAGCTTAAAAAGAAAAAATTATCTCAATTTCATTCAATGTACAATATTATTTTTGGTAAGTTATAAGTTCGAACTAGTCGTTATTATTTGAGCAGCCACCTAACTTAAGTTCAAATATAAATGAAAATTTGAAAAAAAAAGACATTGTGATACATGTTGTCAGAAGAAGAAAATTTGATTATGATTTCTATATGAGACAGAATTGTCCTTTGTAACGTTGAGGAAAGTCATTATAAACTTAGTTTTTAGCATTTTCTCTTCCTTTTCAAGTAATTAATTTAATAAAATTTAATAAATATTAATAGTTATATTTTGATTTATTAATTTATTAATTTATTAATAAAAATGTTTCAGAGATCTACTGTCTCAGTTTTCATTTTATATTTTTCTTATGTAAATAAAATGGAAATTCTAACTTTTTCTATTGGTAAAACTGCCTATGTACAGAGTATGACAAAATTAGAAGATTCCCTTCCTAAAATTTTGAGAACAACACAGATTTCTCCAACTAAAGAAAGTTTTTCATTCCCAATCTAATGTCATATCCATGGACACATAATAGCAGTCTATCATGTGCCATATTGGTTTGAGTTTGATCAATTAGCATTAATGACTAAATTCAAAATTTTTGAGATGTGCTTCGTGCTCTCACGCCGTGACGCTTATTTGAAAGATCAGTTACGTGGGGAAAATTGCTTTTCTCCATTAATTATTGACGATGACAGTTTTGAGTTATGAAATAAATGAAAGAGAAATGAAACATTGATTACTACATTTACAGGATTGCCTATATTAAAAATATAAGTTGCAAAGATCTAATCTCTGATTTTCTATCGTTGGTATAAGAGAAACCTGTATTATTTATAAATTATAATTCGAATAATTTTTTTTCTGCCTTTCTGCTGCAGTTATATGACAGCTCCAAATGAATCATAATTTATAATTCGAATAAATTTTTTTTATTGCTAGAGATATATCTTGGCCTGATATTTTTCGTTTGTTTTCGAATTCATCTTAGGATGTCAGAGATTCATTTATATTCAAATTCGAATTAGGCAAATCATGTTTTATTTCCTATTATATAGATATAGATGCTTGGAAGCAACAACTGTCAAAGATATGTTTCACTACTTAGCATTTGTTTGATTCTTTATTACGTACTATTCTCTCAGTGTATGTGTTCGCAGTGAAAATTCCGTAGAATGTTTGCTTAAACAACAATAGTTTGAATCGTGTTTTGGTCGTCAGTAAGAATTAGAATGACTTATTTTAAATTCAAAAGTCTAGTTTTTTTTCGTTGGATGCATGTGTTTTTGAGAAAATTATATCGAATGTACATAGTTTAGAACAAGAATGATATTGTTTTTGAAATAATGCATCGAAATCTTGTGTGGCGCACCTGAATGACAGATAATACACTGTTTTGTTCGTTGGATATTTCTATTGAGATCTGTCATAGTTCGATTGGAATACTAAAGAGTGCGATCACAGAGAAGAAGAATGAGGCAATTTATATTTGTTAAAATAGATAAGATTATGACTGAGGTTTAATAAAATAAGTTGTTGTAAAGGATTATACAAGATCATTTCGCTCCATTGCACGAAATACTCATAAGATTTAGCTAGTTCTTCCGATTGATGTGACGCGTAACAGTACTAGTCGAAATAGAACTGACTGTTTTAACCAGTATTTTGATCAATATTCAGGGAAAAATCCAGCATATTCTGTTTATCACCTATGTCTCAAGATCTAGTAAGAAAAAGTAATGAATCAAAAAAACAAACTATCTCAAATAGATTACTCAGTTTGTAGTTCTTACCAGAGAGAGAGAGAACACTCGATTATTGTCTTTTATCTTCTATGAAGTAGTAAGTGGATGTGCTTGTTGCTGAAGACAAAGCCTACACTCATATCCTGGCTGTTCTTGAAGTGGTCACCTTCAACAACAACACAGAGGCTTTTTGAAATATTTCGGTTCATGTCATTCGAAACACTTAATCGACTTGAATAGCTTTGTTTAGCAAAATGGTCAGCGTAAAAAGAAAGTTGACAAAAGAGCATGAATCAAAAGTTCGTGAAAGACTCCTGTATTAAACAATAATAAAGTTCTTGCAAAAATTTGAATGATGCCTAATGCTATCAATCTGGATGAATTCTGAAAAACAAATCTGGACAAGTTTGAAAATAGATCGAAAAAAGAAAGCAAATGATGTTTTTGATATCATATACAAAGTATTTTGTATTTATATTCAGCAATTATGTGAGAGAAAGAATTGAATTCATTCAGTGCCGAGGAAGAAAACGATATCATGTCCAAATTTTATTTAAGCTCGCTCATATAGGACATGAATTGACATTGATCTTACGTCCAATTGCGTTTATTTTTCTTGATTGAACAATCCTTTGTTCAAATACAATTACGAAAGTTTTATTAAGTACCAAACACTTATTACCTAAAAGTGAAACAATTTAGAGCAATTCGTAAACAAATCAGATATTGTTTCTTTTTCTCTTTTAGATATCGACATCTCTAAAACTTTGTTCAACGTAACATTTTTGAACCTTAACAGGTGGTAAGCGATCTTGTTTCTAAGATAAAGTAGAATGCAATAGAAAATATGCCGATAAGAGATCAATAAAAAATATGAGTCTAACTAATTTAGTATCTATTTTGTTGATTCACCATTTTTTCGATCGATCTTTGTTGTATTTAGCTCGTGATTCGTATTAACAAGTCCATACTAGGTAATATCTCGAAAGGTTATCAATGATGACAAACAACATGATCTTTATTTATCGCCTCTTGCCTGGGAATATTCTGCAAGTTGCTCGACTTCGTCGAGCCTTGCAATTCGTAATGATGAAATATCAATCAGTACATACACCAATCAGTTTCGATGCAGAAAATAATCGTCTTATTCAAGGAGTCAATACTTGGACTGAGAACAACACTGAGAATAATCATGTATTTGCATGGATTGAGAGCATATTCGAAAATGATGAAGAACTCAATGCTATTATTAACAATGAACGTAACAATTCTGAACACTTCGATCTTTCTCGAAGTCTTGTCTTGCGATGTCATCTTGTTTACTATAAAGAAATTTCTCAAAATGATGAGCTTCGTGGATATGATACTTTAATTTTCCACTTCCACGAGGCTGTATTCGATATTGATGCTATGGAAGTGTTTCTACACAATCTTGCTGAAGCTTACACAACAAGTAAATCACCAAAAGAAGACAGCAACTCAACTCTACAAAATGATGATTGTAAATTCATTATGCTTTTCCAGAATAGTAACTTAATCACTTGTCTTTTTTTTGTTATTTAGATTCTGTCGCCGAACGGCAAAAGGCCATGAACATCGCCAGTATATTTTGGCTTCAGACTCTGAAAGAATATGATTTCGATCAGCCACTACAGTTGCCATTCGATAAACGCCGTATTAACGACAAACATCGAACAGGACTTCACACTAGCGTCTTTTTCGATGTAGAGGAAACGCTTTCGCAAGCTTTCTTTAACTATGCTACAATAAATAATATATTACCAATGCATCTGGCACTTGCATGCTATTTTGTGTTTCTGTTCAAATTGACCAATGATGAAAGTGACTTATGTATTGGAATGGACACATCCGATCACTACAGAGCTAAGTTATGGTCATTGACAGGAAAGTTTATCAATCCAATTCCATTGCGATGTCAAATCGATCCTAATTCTTCATTTGATCAACTCGTTGAACACATAAACATGATTGCAACGGAGAGCTTGAAATATTCTTATTTTCCTCTTGAACATATCTTAGCACAACATCAAACGACTAGTAGTCCTGCTTTTCTCAACACTTACTTCAAATTTCGGTCGACACTAATCGAACATAATTTAAGTAAAGTGACACTAGGCGATGCAACCATTTGTGCTATGGCCAATACGATCGAAATCAATGGATACGATGCCGTCAACACTTTGGATTTTTCGCTTAATGTTTGGCATAATCCGACTATTGGGCAACTATCATGCTTGATTCATGCCTCTCTCGACTTATGCGATGCCATTACGATCAATAAAATCGCACAGCGTTTTCATCTCATGCTTGATCAAATATTTTTCAAACGAGATCAATTTCGACAGCCAATCTATGAGTTTTCACTTATGTTACCCGAAGAAATATTAATAATCGAGCCTTTAATTGATACTCATATCTCAGTTCCTCCTGCCCAATGTCTTCAATACGAGTTTGTTCAGCGAACCAGCGAGCATCCGCAAAAAGTGGCGGTTGAACTCGACGAACAATGTATGACCTATAGTGAACTATGTTACCATGCTCAATATCTCGCTCTATATATGCTCAATAAATATGCTGTTAAAACAGCCGAAATCGTTTGTCAATGCATCGAACGAAGTTTTTCAATGGTGAGCTTATTCGAACTGATTTGTTGTAGATTGTGGTTCATCTGTTTTTTTTTCTAGGTTATTGGTATAATATCCATTCAGATGACAGGTGCTGCTTATTGTGGATTATCACCTCAAAGCCCTCAACAACGTTTAAACATTCTTGTCAAAGAAACCGGAAGTCGTTTCGTACTTGTTCATTCGATGACGCAAAACTTGTTCAGTGATGATGTTACTGAACTCAATATTGATGAAATAATCAACTCTCGAAACATTGCTCATAATGTCGATGTTGATCAACTCTCAAGAGTCGCTGTGATACCCGAGAATATCGCCTATGTTATTTTCACTAGTGGATCGACAGGCATACCGAAAGCAGTTAGTTCTTGATTCTGTTTCTGATAAAACGATAATAATTTTGTTTTTTATAGGGTCAACTACGACATCGAAATCTAATTGAATGTATACACAGTTTCGTTCATATTGACATATTCAACAAGAACGATGTAATATTACAAATCGCTCATTGTTCATTCGATGCGCATTTCCTAGATATCGTCGGAGCAATCATTGTCGGTAGCACCTTGGTTATGCTTCATTCTATGGGCAACATGGATTTAGATTATCTTGCTCGAGTACTGAAAGAAAAACAAATCAGCTATTTTTTAATGGTACCCTCTTTAATAAATAGTCTCTTTAATTTTCTTAAAGAGAATAACGATGTATCTACCGTCAAATTGCTACGATCTGTTGGTAGTGTTGGTGAGCTGAATTCGGTTTGATTGAAATAATAAGCAATTGTTTGTTGTTCATTTTAGGCGAAGTTCTCACTGCTAAATTAGTGCGTTTATTAAGAAGTTATGTTGAAGAAAATTGTCTAATATGGAATTTGTATGGGCCATCAGAAATAACAATGGGCTGTACTTATCACAAGGTAGATGAGACATCTGAAAAATCAAATATTTGTATTGGCCGATCTTTTCCTAATTATCAATGCCGCATTGTCAACGAGATGCTTCAACCTGTCATCGTCAACCAGGAAGGTGAATTACTTGTAGGTGGCGTGGGTATATTTGCTGGTTATCTGGGTCGTGACGATTTGACAGCAAAGACACTCATTGAGATCGATGATGAACTTTTTTATCGAACAGGTGATCTTGTACGATTAGACAGCAATGGCTTTGTACATTATGTTGGGCGCAAAGATCACCAAGTAAAATTACGTGGACAACGTATCGAGCTCGGCGAAATCGAACAATGTCTGCTGCAGTCATCACCACAAGTCACTGCCTGTGTTGTTACTAAATATGATGATGAACATTTGGTCGCATACGTGCAAAGTTCTGATATCGATGAGGAATTATTACAGACATATTGTCATTCTCATCTTCCACAGTATATGGTTCCATCAAAGTTTATCATACTCCAACAAGTACCATTGAATGCCAACGGAAAGATGGATCGACAACGTCTTCCAATACCAGACTTTTCGTCGTCGAAATCTTCGACAGTAATCGACTTCAAAATACCACGAAATGAAATAGAAAAACGTGTCCATTCTCTATGGTGCGAAGTGTTACAACACGTAGATGAGCAGATTTCAATCGAAGAAAGTTTCTTTAACATTGGTGGTCATTCACTACTTCTCATACAACTCTATCATCGATATAAGTCAGAATTTGGCTTTGATACTCAAGCCATTTCCATCGCACCATTTCTTCAGTATGCAACCATTGCTGAACACGCCAAATTACTTGAAACAATGAAAACCAACATGCAATCAACACTATTGCAAACAATGCAAATCAATCAAGGTAACAGCTGTTGTACGAAAAATTTTGTGAGACTATCAGTTAACAAAACAGGAAAGGACGTGGTTCAAATTACTATCATTATTGAATTAGATATTGCAGATATGGCTACTTTTCTAGTGCCAATTGTTGAACTAGAATTTGTAGGGAAAATTTCTGGGTCGATTTCATACTATGTATAGCATCAAAAAATACTACGGCGAAGTAGGGTAGAAATTAATGTAGTAATTTGCTGTGTAACAGCCGTCTAGGGTCGTTTGAGACGCCATGTCCGACGACTCGAATGATCGACATGGGTAGCGATCAACAATACACCATTGCCAAAGGAACTGGAGCTTTCCATCGGATGGCTCTCGAAATATTCATGTCAAAAGTTCCAATGCTCGTGGGCAATCGAAAATATGACATAAAGATTATAACTTTAACTATTTACTAGTATGTAAGTTAATATGTCGTTATCTATTTAATAGAAGATCGTAAATAGGTATCTCAATAGCACTAAATAGTAAACACATATTCACTATGTACTAGTAAAGAAATAAAGATATTATTTACTTTAATTTAAACACATGAAATCAAGATAAATAAATTGTGCTTGATATATACTTAGTATATTCTCAGATAAATAAAATATTCGCTAGTTTACTGATATATAATTATAATTGAGTAGATTCTCACCAATGCACTGGTATATAATACCTATGCATAGTTCCCATTTATTAGTAAATCACTAACTGTTTTGTTTATTGTACCATATTTGCTTGATCATCGAGTAGAGTAAATGTGCCATTCATAGTATAAAAAGTATTCACAACTGAATGTTAATAATTTTTCGAGAACTGGCACGAGAAGGAATATATGAAATAGTGTCTGTAAGTAAGACTGAGAACGAATCCACCAGTAAAATAAAAAACCTTACACTTGAGGTGTTCAAAGTCGAGACATATGATCACAAAGAAAATCGGTTTGATCGAATCGTTCTTTTGAACGTCCACAACATATTTCGATAGATTTGTAAACTATCTGTTTGATGGTGAATGTAAAGTCGACATAGAGAATCGAATGTTGGATTCGATATCGGAATTAGATTTTGATCGGATGGAACTGTCAGTTGACGATCTGAGGAGATGTGTTAAATTTTAATTTGAATCAATTTTCTGACGAAGTATCAATCAATTCTCGATTTTGTTTCCAATGAAAATGGCAATGCTGATTAAGGAACGTGATGAGTCTATCTCGAAGTCGAAATAAACACTTGTCAGACCTAGATAAAAACTGGTAACGGACCGTTAGGAAAATTTTTAACAAGAGTATTAAGAGATCTACAATTCAGAAAACTACCAATGTCTCAAAGATCTGCGAAAGAAGGTTAGAGCCTCCGTAGATAGGATTAATAATCTTAGAGAGTTGAATCATTGTTGCGGAGATTAGTGAGCCGAAGAAGAAAGACAATCGTCCAGTGCTCGTAGAGAAAACGAAAACTTCGCAATATTGCGAGTCACTTTTACCGAGTTACCTGCTCAGTGTCTTCACAGGTATGAATATATAATCATGTCACTGTACTAACGTAGCTTATCTAAGAATATCTATTTGCAAGCTCGTACCCCGGAAGTTTGTGAGGAAAGACTTAAAAAATTCTGTGGTAAAAGAACAGTTTCTCTACGGAAAAGTATTCACTTGCTAGAACCTGTTTTTAGCACGTCTTTATTTCCATATTGTTAAAGAAATAAATCGAACTGTATAAATCTACTGATAAATCATTGGAACCTAACCTTTCTTAGGTGCTTTTTCCGATTAATTTTCTTTATAGTATGTGCCTGAAATAGATTAAACTATACAACTATACACCATGAATTTCTATTTCAGCCTACAAGATAAAAATAACTATCATCATTTCAAAATATTTGGATGAAATTGATTTCATCTTTATAATCATTTTAGTACAAAATTCTCAAATGCAAAGAGGGCTTTTATTTTCCTTATCATAGGCCGATCAACATTCAAAGTCGATCTAATATTCGTTACAAATAAGCTCCTCTAGGTGATGAGAGAAGTTAATTTTCACGAAAGAATTGCGCTTTGAATAGTTTTAGTAACTATTCAGTTGTAATGTACAGGTAATGGGTTTTAGCTAGGTTAACAAAAATCAACTGCTTGCCGAAGAAAAAGATCGTAGATCGATCGACATTAGAAGCATTATTTCGGAATTGAAAACAAGTTAAATAAGATGAAGATTTGATGATGGGCGAAAAGTAGAGACAGATCAATCCAATCCCCTACTGAATCACTCTAAACTAATTGCATGCTTGGAATGTGTGTATAAGTGTCTGTATTTCACTAGCAATCAAGCTCAAGATAGCTTTCTAATTGTTTATTGGTGCACTTGTGCAATAGAATTCACTTTTTTAATGTTAGGTAGATAATATTGAATAGAATACATAAGCACAGTGATATGGTTATTATTCAATCCGTGAATAGACATTCTTGTTCCTGAAATTATGCAGTAACATGTAGTGACCTTTAGTACTATTATCCGTTTCAAAATAGAATGTCCATCGCTGTTTTTTGAATAACTCAAGTCAGGAACAAGCTAGAGACCTGCGTTTTTCACCAATGAAAATAGGAGATCAAGGGACATCGTTCTCTTCGATCATATGTAAGAGAAATTCCTTTTAAAACTAATTATTTTCGAAAAACATATAAAAGGAGGCATGAAAATGACCTGCCATCTACATAAAAGTTTGATTTTGACTTTTGATTTAGATAGAGGAATTTCAGATCTATAGTTCGATATATAATGCGCTTCCTTTATTTTCATCCCATTTCCATCGCAATGTTGAGCTATAATGATAAAAAGTGAGAAGGTCTAGTGAAAAATTAGCAAAAAATTTCTATTATTTGCGCATGTAAATATATGATTCGATTTGCTCAATGTTAGAATGCAATAAGAAAACCATTTGCATTGTATCTGGAACTATAGATCTGAAGTTCCTCTATCCAAATCAAAGGTCAAAATAAAACTTTTATCTAAATGACAGGTCATTTTCATGCCTTATTTTACATGTTTTTCGAGAATAATTAGTTTTTGAAAGGAATTTCTCTTATACATGATCGAAGAGAACGATGTCCCTCGATCTCCTCTTTTCATTGGTGAAAAACGCAGGTCTCTAGCTCGTTCCTGACTTGAGTTATTCAAAAAACAGCGACGAACATTCTATTTTGAAACGGATAATAGTAGTTTTCTTCTACTCTAATTGAAAAGCTTTCCAAACAATTAAACGTATTTTCTGAATACAAACACAGAACCACCAATTAATGGATTATCGTTTCTGGATCCTAGATATTCTTATATGGGAAAGTAAACATGAAAGCACTACGCGTAGTTTCTACTACAAGTTTCTTTTTGTTTCTCTTTTGTTGCAGTTGTAAACAAAAAGAAGACTTCAATGTCACAGTTTTCAGCATTTATTTATAGTTCATATCTTCTTTAATTTAATTCTAATCTTATTAAAAAATAGATCTACTAGTTCATCCAATGAGTATTGTTCAAGAAGAAATGTTTGCCAGTTACAAGAGATCACCTACCGATCCAAAGTACCATTTGGCACTCAAACACAATCTCTCTGAACAGCAATCGCTTATGTTTGATATCGCCAGGTTTCGTAGAGTGGTTCGAACTTTGACATTGTCTCACGATCTATTGCGATCTACCTTTCATATGGTTGGAAGCGAACTAGTTTATCATGAACATATTGATGATCTCGAGAGCAAAATTGACTCTTCAATTATTTGGCAGACGGTCTCTGGTGTTGCCATGCAATCAGCAGATATTCTTGATATTATACGAAAACCATTCGATTTGGAACGTGACCTGCCATTCCGAATCTATCTTATCAAACACATTAGTTCAAATTGTCTCACGATTATTTTTATCGTACATCATATTGCCGCCGACGGTTATAGTCTGACAAAGCTCATACATGTACAACTGTGGGAACTTTACGGCCATGAAGATATTCCTGATTATTTGCTTGTCGCAAGCAAAACTTTTGCTCAACATGTACAGGAGAGATATACTATATCTAAAGAGAAAGCCGAGCAGTGGACGAACGACGTACGCTGGTGGCAAGAACATTACAGCTCAACCATTCGTACGACAATCAAGCTGCCACCGCCCGAAATACCACTTTATGGTTCTGACGATGCTTTGGCTATTGCGACAAATAGAGACAAACACAACAACAGCAGTCTTCAGTGCAAGACATTGAATATTCCAACCGATCTGTGGCAAGCCATGGAGGCTTTATGTATTTCAAGTGAATGCACGCCCTTCACTTTGTGTCTCAGCATTCTCTGGACACTTCTAACACAATATACAGAGGATGACAAATTTAGTATTCACGTCGCTTTCGCTGCACGTCCTCAAACTTATCAAAATACAGTGGGACCTTTTGCTCATGCATTTCCGATCAGCCTAGGCACGAACCAATCGACAACGGATGTCGATCAGGAGGCATTCAACAAGTTCTTAATGAGAACGCGTCGTTTGATATTAGAAGCAAAACAACACGAGATGATCACATTATCCGAAATTTATCTTCAGATGAAGCAATTACAATCAATACCTACACAGGTATCGGTAGCAATGAGTGCTATCAGTATACCGAAAGCTGTGGCACACGTAGATTCATCCGAATGCATTTTTTTCAGCGTATCAAGCTTGACCATCTACATGTTTGCTAAACAGCATACTCTAGATTGGTGTTTCAATACGACTGTCATTGATTCCAATCTAATCGATCGATTGCAAGCGAATTATTTGACACTTCTACAGTACATAATTCGTGATAGTGATCGTCCCCCTCACATGTATAAAGACTTATCGACAACAGAATTTGATCAAGTCATCAATCGATTCCAACGAACTACGACAGTGAAATATTATGAATTGACTTTACATGGTATCTTCGAGCGAGCTGTAAAATCATGGCCTAATCGGGTCGCCATCGAACATCAGTATACTTCAATCACGTATTTCAAATTGAATGAACGTGCAACTAAGCTTGCCGTTTATTTACAGCGTCAAGGTGTTAAACCGAATGATCTGGTTTGTATACTTATGGAAAAATCGATTGCAGCAGTCATCTGCATTTTGGCCATACTAAAAAGTGGCGCCGGCTAT